TTGTGCGTATAAGGACAATCAATTATTATGACATCTGCCCATTGCAATTGGTTTTTGGTCAGGAGTCAAATATTTCCCATCTTAGAATCTTTGGTTGTGCGGTATATGTTCCTATTGCTCCATTACAACACACAAAGATGGGTCCCCAAAGAAGGTTGTGGTTATATGTTGGGTATGAATCTCATTTTATTATGAAATACTTGGTACCTAGAACTGGAGATTTATTTATGGCAAGATTTGTTGATTATCATTTTGATGAATCAGTATACCACCATTAGGGGGAGAACAAAAGCAGTTGTGTCAAAATAAGAAAATAATTATAAAAAGAACAAAATGAATAATGAAAATATTTATACTTGCAAAAATTATTGTAGAAGGATATCACAACAGATATTATACCCCTATGATAGATACAGGAGCAGAAGCGAATATATGTAAATATAATTGTCTACCGGAAGATAAATGGGAAAAATTAAAAACACCTACGATAGTAACAGGATTTAGTAATGAAGGAAGTATGATCAAATACAAAGCAAAAAATATAAAAATAAAAATATGGGATAAAATATTAACAATAGAAAAAATGTACAATTTTGAATTTACGACAAAAGGCATGTTATTAGGAATGCCATTTTTAGATAGATTTTACCCACATGTAATAACAAAAACACATTGGTGGTTTACTACACCATGCGGAAACAAAATAGGAGCAAAAAGAGTAAATAATAAACAACGAAAACCTATGGAATGGATAAAAGGAAGTGAAAAAATAAATCAAGAAATGAAAAATATAAATAAGAAACAAATATCACAATTAGAAATTATTATATTTACAATAGATAAAGTTAAAATAATTAATGAATAACTAGAACAACTATACAATGAAGATCCATTACAAGGATGAGAAAAACATAAGACAAAAGTAAAAATTGAACTAATAGATGAAAATAGTATAATAACACAGAAACCATTAAAATATAACTTTGATGATTTAAAAGAATTCAAAATACATATAGATGAACTATTAGAAAATAATTACATACAAGAAAGTAATAGTAAACATACAAGCCCAGCATTTATATAAAACATAGTGAACAAAAAAGAGGTAAAAGTAGAATGGTTATAGATTATCGTAACTTAAATGTCAAAACTAAAACATATAATTATCCAATACCAAATAAAATACTAAAAATAAGACAAAGACAAGGATATAACTATTTTAGTAAATTTGACTGTAAATCAGGATTTTATCATCTAAAACTAGAAGAAGAATCTAAACAGCTAACAGCATTCACAGTACCGCAAGGTTTCTATGAATGGAATGTATTACCTTTTGGATATAAGAATGCACCAGGTAGATATCAACATTTTATGGATAACTATTTTAACCAGTTAGAAAATTGTATTGTATATATAGATGATATATTATTATATTCTAAAACACAAGATGAACATATAAGATTATTAGAAAAATTTATACATATAATTAAACATTCAGGTATAAGCTTAAGTAAAAAGAAAGCAGAAATTATGAAACCACAGATAGAATTTCTAGGAATACAAATAGATAGGAATGGAATAAAAATGCAAAACCATGTAGTACAAAAAATAATCACCCTTGATGAAAATATAGATACAAAAAAGAAATTACAATCATTTCTAGGATTGGTAAATCAAGTAAGAGAATATATACCAAAATTAGCAGAGCATTTAAAACCATTACACAAAAAACTTAAAAAAGATGTAGAATACTATTTCGACAATAAAGATAAAGAACATATAAGAAATATTAAGAATTTATGTAAAAAATTACTAAAACTTTACTTTCCTGATGAAAATAAAACATTTACTTATATTGTTGAAACAGATTCAAGTGATCATAGTTATGGAGGAGTTTTAAATACAAATATGAAAAGGAAAAAACAGAACACCATTGTAGATATTATTCAGGATCTTATGCAGAAGCACAAATAAAATGAGAAATAAATAGAAAAGAATTATTTGCACTATATAAATGTTTATTAGCATTTGAACCATATATTGTTTACAATAAATTTATTGTAAGAACAGATATTACACAGGTAAAATGGTGGATAACAAAAAAGGTAGAAGATTCAGTTACAACAAAAGAGATAAGGAGGTTAGTATTAAATATATTAAATTTTACATTTACAATTGAAGTAATTAAGACTGACAAGAATCTTGTTGCAGACTACCTATCAAGAAAAAGGAACCCAAACTGAACCAGAAAAAGATACAATGGAAGAAATACTCAAAGCCATTACTACACTTTCTACGAAAGTGGACAGTATGGATAAAGAGTTACAAAAGATGAAAAATATAAGTCAGCAGCATGACTATAAAAATGCAGAGCTATGTCGATCGGAAGAATGAAAAATTCCAGAGCTACAAGGAGACGTTGGGAAACTCCATAAAACCCATGACAATGTTTGTTTAAATGCAGCTACAGCCAGCACATCTACAACAAAAGGAGTCAGTGGAATAAGATATACAAATTTAAATATGAACAAAATCTTCGATAAACCATTTATTCCAAAAAACCAAAAAGACTCATTATTTATATCACCACAAATAACTACTTACTCATAAAGTTTAAGCCAAGATAAAAAAGCCTACAACCACATAATCCGCTCATATATTGAAAACCTTTATAAAATCCAAAATTATTTAAACTCAACATCCAGATCTCCAACTACCAAAGACCCTAATACTGATTTTATAACCCAAAAGCTACAAGGATATAATAAGTTAATAGCACAACCAGGCACCAATGCAAATCTAGTAAAAACATGTTATAGTTATGGATTACTTAGTACAGTTTATACCCAAACAGGAGATGAAATATCTACCATACCAGAGCTATACAAAGCCTTTAGGAATTATAAAAGAATTACTAAAGGAACATTATTTTATATAAAGTTTTATTCAGCACCAACATAGATATTATTTGATGAGATAAAACCAATTATACAGGTCATAAAGATTGGTTTAACCAGAGATATGATAATTCCGGAAGATATCGGAATACAGCAAGAAATACAAAAGATTGAGATACCAGAATTCTACGCCAACAAAAGAGTTATAGGAATAGCAACTATCCTAAATGAACTAACTAACAAATATTTAAACGGAAATTCAGTATGGAGCTATTATGTACGAGAACAAATTATGATATATTCAAATTCTAAAGAAATCAGAGAACAAGATATGGAGGAGATACGCCAATGGATACTTAGTTTACTCAAGCCAGAGCAAAAACCAACAACAAGAGCATTAAGGAAAGGGTTTATTTCGGAAGAACTATTGACCAGATATTGCAAAATCATTGGACAAAAATACCCCGACCACATATGTTCAAAATGTCAAGGAGAAGATAATGTCATACCAGATGTTCAGATCGAATAAAGATACGTGTGAAGATAACATCATAAACCCCTCAGCTATATTTTAAGCCATAAAAAAAAGTATTTTGTAATTATATGTCTTAAAGTATTTTGTAAGTATTTTGTAATTATATGTCTTAGTTTGTCGTGTAGTGTCGGCCAGAAGATAAGATGTCCATATGTAAAAGTTATGTCGGCCATATAAAAAGTAAAGGCCAATAAGTGTAAAAGTATTTTGTTTTCTTGTGTAGACCGAATATAATAAGGTCAGGTGTAAAGTAAAATATAAAGTTGTGTCGGCCATTTGGCCAAGTTGTTAAGAATTTCTTGTATAAATAGAGGGTTCTCCCTCATAATAAAATCATCCCTGGTCCTTTTTCCTTGACAACTCTCTCTCTCACTCTTAAATTCCGCTTCCACCCAAAATTGGTATCAGAGCTAGTTCACAAAAAATAAAATATGAAAAATCCAGAGATGACAAATCTTATTTTGAAGAAGCTATTGAGCAAGAAATTTGACATGAAAGATTTGAAGCTGCAAAGAAAATCCTTGAAATGAAAATTTCAAAAGAAGACGGTATATTACATCTTTCTCCAAAGAGGTACATTGAAAAAAGGTTCTTAAGAGATTCACTATGCATATATGAACAAGCCCATAAGTATATTATTAACTTCTGATCATTTCAAGCTTTCATAGTTACCAATGTCTTAGTCTGTGAATGGGGTGGAGCACATATCAAAAGTTCCTTGTGCTAGCGCAATTGGGAGCATTACGTATGCTATGGTATGCCCAAGTCTAGATATTTTTCAATCTAGAAGTGTGGTAAGCAAGTACATGACAAACACACGAAAAAAGTATTGAAAAGTTGTCAAGTACATATTGAGATATCTCACAAGAGCTTTTGATATTGGCTTGATCTTTCAAAAAAGTGAAAGTATTTTGGCTCTCAGTTATGTAAATTCTAACTATGCAGGGAATCTTGATAGAAGGAGGTTCACAATTGAATACATCTTTACTCTTTTTGGCATTGTCGTTAATTGAAAATCGATTTTACGGTCGATAGTCACTTTATCTACAATAGAGGCATAATATATGACAGTGATAGAGGAAGTTAAAGAAGTTGTTTGGTTGAAAGGTTTGGTGGCAAAATTGAATTTGGTTCAGCTGGAATCAACTCTAAAAGGTGATAGTCAAAGCACTATTTATTTGATTGAAAATTAAAAATTTCATGAGCGCACCAAAAACTATAAGGTTAAATAACATTTTGATAAATTTGACATAACTATAGGATCACAAAAACAAATAATTTTTTTTTATTATCTTAAACTTTATGCCAAATTAAAATAAATTATTTTTTTTTAAAACAAATGAAATATGATAATTTAGCTCATTTAAAGCCAACTTCTACTGCAGGGTCCCATGAAATTGTGTACATATCCTGAATATGGTCCATATGGGGACAGAATCCCAAACCTCCAATTGGCTGGATCCCTCAAAATGCTTCACTACTGCATTCTTAATTTTTTTTTTTTAAAAAAAAACAAATTTGAAAAAACTCACATTTTGCCCATGCTCTATAAATATATTTGACAGACACTACTTCTCTTAACATAAAAAAAACATACAATTAACATCAACATATATTATTTTTTATAATATACAAGAAGTTGTCATGGCTCATCATTATTTCAATCCAGATATGCAAATCATTATTCCACCATCCTCTGTATTTAACACTGACACAAATTTGAATTTTCATAACCAATTTCCAGAACAAAATTACTTGAATACCATTTCACTGGAAATGTCTAATTTCAATTTTCATAAGCACTCTGATGAACATATTTTGAACCAAACCTCTGACTTCCCTGTATATTTAACAGAAAATTTCCAACAAGATATGTTCAACCTTCCAGTACCAACTAGAAATGATATAAATGAAAGCAAGAAAAGGAAAACAATTGAAACCCCAGAAAGTAGCTCTGCTTACTCATCCCCTGCAGTTTCTTCGAGAAGAAAAACCGTAAGTTAATCTTCAACTCTTTCTATTTTCTATGTAGTAAGGGATTGGTTCGCTACTCGTTAGGAGGTGAATTATTCATGCATTAGAGTCGGTATCAAACTTGTACCATGTTTGGTAGCATTTTAGTTGCTATAGAGTGTTTGGTTATAACATGTGTAAAATCCTGAGCACTTAATCCGTTTCATTTTACTTGATCTTATATCAAAAATAAATATTTTATTTTACTTGTACTTTGAGCAAATCAAGATAGCTTTATTATTAAATAACTACATAAAATAATAGTAATCAAATTTAGAGTTTCAAAACATTATTAATAAGTTTAATTTTTAAAATACATTTTTAATTAAAGATTTCTATCAGGTCAATATGAGTCAAGTAATATGAAACACATGAAGTATAACTTATGAAAAAAATTTATCTACTATGTTCTATAGAGCAGAAGATAGAATAATTAATACATTAACCAGCAACAAACCAAACAAATAAACAAAAGGATTCAAGAATTCTTATGTACTATTATAGTATCTTATTTTATAGAGTATAATTTAGTTAAATTCTCTTTGAACCATGTAACTTTTCCACACTTAATATGTACATATTTTTGACATTACAATTTACAGGGCAAAGGAAGAGGAAAGAGAGTAAAAAGGGATGAAAATGAAGAAGAGAAACTAAGGCAAGTAGTGCATGTAAGAGCCAAGAGAGGCCAAGCAACTGATAGTCACAGTTTAGCAGAAAGGGTAATTTCCTCTCCCTTTTAGTATATCCTGTTTTTTCACATATGTACTAAAAATTGACTAATGTATTTCTTTTTTTGTAATTTAGGTTAGAAGAGGAAAAATTAATGAAAGACTTAGGTGTTTACAAGATATTGTTCCAGGATGCTACAAGGTAATGTTTCTTTTTACATTACAATGTCAAATTGAAGTTTAGGATGTGGTGTTGTGGATGTGGCTACTCCTACCTTAACAAGATGTCTCGGATTTGAGTCTATTTTTGGTAGGGAGAACTTCCTCCTAATGGAGCCCTACACGGTATGAATCCAGATATAGTCGGGCTCCAATCAAGGGCGTAGCTACCCTATAGTGAAGGCGTCCAATTAGATACCCTTCGCCGGAAAATAATACCGTATTTATAAGTAATATGATACACGAAGTGATTAAATGACAAATTTTGGACACCCTTGAAAAAATAAGGTATTTTAGCCCAGTGATTTTAGATGCCTTTAAAGAGCCCTAAATGCTCACGTGTTTGAATCTCACTAACAACATTTTTTCTCCTTTTTTTTTGACACTCTTCGTGAAGTTCCTGGCTCCACCACTAGGTCCAATGGGAGTACCTAACACTAAAAAAAACATTGAGTTTAACATAATAACATTCAAATTTCAATCTAATTTCAGTCTATGGGCATGGCAGTAATGCTGGATGAAATAATTAACTATGTGCAATCTTTACAAAATCAAGTTGAGGTGAGTTTAAATGATCCAACACAACTTGTTTTCTGATTGACCAAAACACACACACAAAATGACTTGTTGTATTTGTTGGATTTAGTTCCTCTCAATGAAGCTATCTGCAGCTAGCACATATTATGACTTCAATTCAGAGACAGACATTTTGGAGACAATGCAGGTACTCCAAATTTACATAGTTTTAATTTCGATTTTGTTAGATCATACTTGTGTAGAGATTAACTTGTAATTTATCTTATAAGTGATTTGATTGTATAGATCGATATTTTTCGACTTGCAGAGAGCAAAGGCATATGAAGCAAACATGATGCAGAAGCTAAAGAAAGAAGGATGTGAAGGGATGGGTTCTAATCAAGTTGGCCCTTTAATTGACCGCACTTTTGGCTGCTATCCCAAGTTGTCTTACAACACCTAAAGATTCATTCAACTATTTTTCCTTTTCTGTTCAGTAGTATTATACATTTGTAATTTTTGTACACATGAAAAATTGGACACATATCCATGTATCAAGTCTCATAATACAACCAAACAGACATTTTTTTAAGCCTAATTTTACTCAAGCATCGTTTTGAGTAATTTATGCATTGCAGGATTTTTTTTCATCATTCATAATTATGACATTATTATTACATTATCCCCGCATAAATACTAGTGATACACTTGACCTTTTCCAAAGCTTTTTCTTCCAAATTTTTAAAGACAAACAAGGTTAAATTGAAAAATAATAAAAATTATTATTTTCTAAAAGCAAAACCGAATGCAATGTATATTATCTTAACATGTATATTCCGTTTTTAGTGAATAAATCAAATCTACTAACAAAGTACATTGACTAAATAATTTTGTCATAATTTATTTAATCTTGAACTAATGTAGTTTGCAACCCAATCTTCTTGGGAAAGAGTATCCTTTGTTACTATTTTGTTCATTACTCCTCATTGGTGTAATGCATGTGCATCGGTCAAGATCATTCTTTTTTGTTATTTCTTTAAAAAATTATACTGAATAACATTATTCCAAAGTATATATATGTATTAACACTCTCAATTTTAAAATTATTCTAAAAAGTAAACATAAATAAAATTGAGGAAATTTTGAAATTGATTTCATTCCACAACTTCAAGAATACAAGATTCAATCCACATTTATGGGGGAGGGAAGAAACAACATATATGATGTTGAAACAATTTTTTATCTTGAAGAATTATTAGCAAAACAATCTTTTTTTTTTAGTTTTTCATTCGATATTTAGAGTCCATATTGGAACTTCCACTAAATTTGAATCACACACTGCATGATCCATTCAAAGATGACTGACTATCTCGACAAGATTCCCATAAATATTGTTAAGGATAAAAATAAATAAATAAATAATTTTAATTTATAAAAGTATAAAAAAATAATCTTGATCTCTCACATTTATTTATACACGTGGCGTACATTCATTATTCGATTGAAGAGTAAAATGGAGGGAATATATCCTTTTCCAATTTTGTGTGAAGCTGTAAGCCTGTAACTATTGCAGCTCCAATACCAAGTATAGTAACCAAATAACAAGTCTACACGTCCAATAATAATCCAAAATTTGTAGGGAATAGGGATCAAACAAGTTGTACAAAGATCCTATTGTAGGAATAATTAAGGAACACTTACAAATTAAGACATATGCCATAAGATCACACGTCTTGATACAATTAAGTGTCAATTCAAGGAAATTAATGATACATTCTTAATCAGAAGTTTTGAATCTGAGGGCTGATTTTTTTAAATATGAAACAATCTTTGCTAGAAAATGTTTTAGCCTTTACACTATTGAAAATTTTCAATATGAATTTAAATTTGGTCTCATTCTAATATAAAAAAATAAAATAAATCAATTTTTTGGGGACACAAACAAAACTTGAGTGACCCACGTCGGCAAAACTTCTTGTAAAATATGATTGGTACATAAAATCCAACGGATGTTGTCAATTCATAAACTGAATAATTATGTGACAAGACTTGCAAATAATTTTTTTATCTCTATTAAAAAAACACTCTTTTATTGAAAAGGAATGTGTATGTTGAGATGCAAATGTTTTTAGGCAGATGCATTGTATCAAAAAAGTTTAAAGGCGTAGGGCACATGAGTATGGGGCAACCCAATGTGTCGATCCTCCAAATTTCTTTAGAATATTACTTCCTTTGATTTTTAAAAAGAATGATCTTTTTAGTAACTTTTTTTGTAACCAACACTTTTAATTTTGACTTTTCACGTGGAATGTTTAAGGGTATAAGATTAAATGACAATTTAATACATGTGACATAACTTTATTCTTTGAATTATAAGATTGAAAAATCTTTTTTATTTTCTTAAATTCTCTGTCAAATCAAACTAAACTATTCTTTTTTGAAACGCAGGGAGTACAGTATTATAATACCAGCTAATGAACCTTCATATATACAGTGACTCTTTGTTTCTTCTTCCCACTCAAACATCAATATCCTTTTCACTTTGAGTCCCTTTTGACCAGAAATTGCCTTGTCTATTGGATACTATGCATGAACATGAAGTTAAAAAAGGGAGTATTGTTTGGGTCCTACACATTTAACAAATTGGATATTCTTGAAGTAGGTTTAAGGCTCACATTGCCTCATGCACATGGTAATATCCCAGTTGATAATTAGTTGGGACAGTTAGCTAGTGAAGGATATATATGAGGCAAATTCAGATATTATTATGCTTAGCACAGTAATTTATCATATGCTACATGCGCTTATTCATGGATTTGACTGTTAGCATCGCTTGTCCCCTAGTCACTTATACTATGCGTGAAAGTTTAGTTCTTAAAACTACCTTATACTCCAAAAGTTAGTGTCTAACTCCACATAAGGAGAGAATTCATCTGATGAAGAGCATTCATCTGATGAACCGTCGATGTAAGACTTTTAATTACAATCTTCAACACCCCACTCACGCTCAAAGTTGGACATTTGGAGTGTGAGTAATTTAAGTTGGGGGCCTAATGCCGGGTAAGTTTGGTCATGCTCTGATACTATGTAAAATTAAATCTTGAGCCTAATTCACACCCCAAAATCTAGTTCATGAGGGGGGGAGGGGATTTCTTTACCATGCTAATTAATGTTGTAGAGAAAAGCAGAAGAAAAATATAATCGGGAACCTTCTGCTACCCCAAGATATATCGTTGATTAAGATTAGAGTATTCAACTAAGGAAGAAGAAACTAGTTAGAAAGAAGAAGTTTATGGAAGAAAACTCTTTTATTTGAGTTGTTCTTAGGTTGTTCTTGGCTGTCTTGGGTCATTCTTGGGTTGCTTACAAATGTACAAGATCATCCATATTTATACTTGTTCATGGATGTTTTTTAGAAATTCTTCTGGATACTTTTATAAAGAAAATTCTAGTGAACTTTATCTTCTAGATATCTAGATAGTTTTTAAGATATTATTCTAAATATTATCCTACACTATTCTAGACACATTACTAGAACTAGGGTTGTACAAAATCGAACCGAAAATCAAATCAAATCGTAAACCGAGTCAAATAAAAAAAACCGATTAGTGGTTTGATTTGACTTGGTTTGGTGTATTTGGAAAAAAAACCTGACTATATTTGGTTTGGTTTGGTTTCAACTAAAAATAATCAACGCGAAACCAAACCAACTCGACATTATATATAATTTTAAAATTTTAGTTTATACTTAAAATACTTACTTTGACATAATTTTTAAATATTACTTATACATTTTCATAGTTTTTTATATTTTAATAAATTTATGGGAAAATGCACAAGTACCCCACCCCCTCAACCTATGTCTGAAATCCAAGAGACACACTTATACTATACTAAGGTCCTATTGCCCCCTGAACTTATTTTATAAGTAATTTTCTACCCCTTTTTAGCCTACGTGGCACTAGTTTTAAAAAAAAGTCAACCATCGTTGGGCCCACAAGATAGTGCCACGTAGGTCGAAAAGGGGTAAAAAATTATTAATAAAATAAGTTCAGGGGGGTAATAGGACCTTAGTATAGTATAAGTGTGTCTCTGAGATTTCAGGCATTGGTTGAGGGGGGTACTTGGGCATTATCCCTATATTTATCTCATATTTTGAAAGTTAGAATTCTTAATGATCAATAAAGATTATAGTCTATACATGTTGGTAATTATAGTAAAGTTTAAATATTAATGAAATTAATAATAGTGTAAAAGGAAACTCAATTCAACACTAAGATTGACAATAATATTGATTTTAGTTTTTAGTTTTACGTAGATTTAGATAATTAAAATACATGATCTAATTTTACTTTCTTTTAATATTTAATCATGTAACTAATACTTATTAAATTTAGTTTAGCATGATTTAGTACTTTTAAATTATGATCAATTTCATTATGACTTATTAATTGCAATATTTATTTTACACAATTTTATTATTATTTTTTTGTTGGATAAATTAGTATCATTAATCATATCATATTTGAGTTATTTTCTTAAGAAATAACTTAGATAGTTGCATTTTGGTAGGACTAATCAAAATATTTGTAGTACAAGTAAATAATATGTTTGAATGAATACTTTATCGGAAAACTCGAAAAAACCCAAAAATCCAAAAAACTTACAAAAATCCGACAAAACCAAAACTGAAAACCCGAGTTTTGTTGGTTTGCTTTGATTTATAAATTCAAAAATTCAACACAAATAATTTGGTTTGATATTTGAAAAACCTGAACTAACTCGTTCATGTAAACCCCTCCCTAACTAGAACAATCTATCATATTCCCAAAAAAATTAACTTAAACTTTTTCACACTCCCCCTTAAAGTGATTTTTTGAAAACTATCCCACACAGTGAAGCTTTGTGCCATGTCTTGGTGGAGATCTCAACAATTTCTTCCGAAGTCCTGTTGGTTCTTCAAATGATGAAGATTCTTCGTTAACATATTAATCCATGCACATTACCTCCTTGTTGAGTTCTCAAACTCCCCCCTTCTCTTGACTTCCCGATAATTATATCATTCAGAGAACACTACCAATTTTAGTGAAGTCCCAACACCAACATAGGATCCAGTGCCATATTCTCTTATTTCATCACATCAATAGATATTTTGGTAGCCTTAGAACTTTCAAAAATCATATTGTTTTTCTTTAAGACTTCAATATCATCATTTTCCTCTATTTGATATCTACTTTCAGAATTTGCTCTAAGTCATTAGTTGCAATGGTGGATCGAGGAATTTAAGGTTGTGGGTGCTCTAAAGTAAAAATATAAAAAATATGTGTTAACAGTGAGATTCGAACCTTGGTACAACAACACGAAAAAAGTCTGAAGTACCCATCCAGGAGCCATTGGGCCAACTAAATCATTTATTCATTGGGTGCTCTATGTTAGTTTTATACAAATACCTATCAATTTTACATAGATATATATATATATCCCGTAACGAAGTTAATGGGTGCTCGAGCACCCGGCAGACACCATGTGGGTCCGCCTCTGATTAGTTGACATTGATATTGCAGATGATTGACCATATACTTCCGCCTCCAATATATA